GTTTTGCCTGACCGATGTCGCTGTTGTTCCTAAGTTCTACACGGCACCCGACCACCGTCTCCTTCGCGCAAGATTCCGTACCGCTTGGAGCAAGATGGATGCGTCGTTCCTGCAGTTCTCCTTCCGAAGTCTGACATGCCATCTCATCGGTGAGGAATCGTAGGGCACCCGGTCCCGACAGGATCAGACCTGGACATCTGAAGACTCTTCCGCCAGTTCTTGTCAAAACTCTGGTTCGACTCTTCACGCGCTACCTGTCGGAAATCAAGGTACCCACCTCGTTTAAAACCAGCAAGACTGTGTTGCTGTACAAGAAGGGAGACCTGTACGACATTGGCAATTATCGCCCAATCTGCCTGCTGTATGTAGTCTACAAACTTTTCGCACGAGTCATCCTGAACAGGGTTGACAGAACACTAGACGAAGGACAGCCATGCGAGCAAGCAAGGGTTTCGAAGAGGATTCAGCACGATTGATCACATCCACACGGTAACGAAGCTCATTGAAGTATCGCGAGAGTACAAGATGCCGTTATGTCTCACGTTCATCGACTTGAAGAAAGCCTTCGACTCCGTTGAGACAGAAGCGGTTATCGAAGGCCTGGGCAACCAGGGTATTCCTACTCAGTACATCAGGATTCTTCGTGAGCTCTACAGCAACTTCACGACCAAGATCTCGCCATTGTACAAGGAGATCTTCATCATGTGAAGAGAGGGGTCCGACAGGGCGACACCATCTCGCCGAAGCTCTTCAGCGCCTCTCTCGAGAACGTCATGCGTCAACTGAATGGGAAGACATGGGAGTGAAGATCGACGGTCGGCAACTACACCATCTCCGCTTTGCTGACGACATCGTTTTGATAACACCAAACATCGAGCAAGCGGAACGAATGCTGGCTGATTTCGACTGCGCGTGTGGAAAAATCGGTCTACGGCTGAATCTAACGAAGACGATGTTTATGAAAAACGGCTTGATTTCTGATGCCCCATTCACGCTCAACGGAACGACCATCTCTGAATGCTCTAGCTATGTGTACCTGGGTCGTGAAATCAATATGATGAACGATTTAGCACCAGAGCTGAGCAGGAGGAAGCGAGCGGCTCGGGGAGCCTTCAAGAACATCGAGGGAGTAGCGAAGAAGACGAAGAACACCAAGCTCTATGCCCACCTCTTCGATTCCGCGGTCCTTCCTGCCTTGACGTACGCCTCAGAGACTTGGACTCTACGAAAGCAGGATGAACATGCGGTTGGCGTTATACACCTTTCAGCTCCGAGCATCGCCCTTTCAATGCGCCATTGAAAGGAGTTTCCCGCTACACGCAAGTCAGAGAACCCAGAGAGCCCGGAGCTCCGCACTCCGTCGACGATCGAAGATTAGAGACGCAGCCGCATTTGCCAAGTTCCGAAGATCAGGTGGGCCGGACACGTCATGCGTTTTGAGGACGACCGCTGGACCAGAGCGATCACCGACTGGATTCCACGGGATGTCAAGCGAACACCTGGACGACCGCCTATGCGATGGTCAGACTTCTTCGTGAAAGCTCTGAACGAATGGTATGAAGTTCATCGTGTCCCTCGAGCAGAGAGAGTCCATTAGGCAACTCTTGCACGTTGCGGGGACGAATGGAGACGTTACTGGTGCCCGCTCGAGAAACTCGATGATCAACGGGAGCACAGGTGATACAGGTGATACTAGCTATAATGAAGTCCTCACTGTAACCACTGCTATAAAGCATTTTACCATATCCGATATCCTTCTTATAAACGAATCAAAACAGGTACAGGTATTGGCTATCCTAAGGGTTTCTGTGTATATAACGGAAGCCTTGTTGTTGATGGAGATATTTGAATCACTGTGTGAAAATCCACTTTAAAGTTAAAGTCATCTGGTTTATTACATAATCCAGTAGTAATTTGGCCGTTTACTATATTGATTGTTAAATCCAAATAATTACTGTATAGCTCAGTTTTGTGTGTCTTCTCAACGAGGGTATTTCTATAGACCTCAGCGAGTTGTTCATCGACACATTTTCAGGCTGCTTATGTATGACTAGGAGATCATCCATATATCTATACAGTCGGCTCGCCGGCTAACGCCGGCGCGACTCCTTCTGATACGGCCCGGCTGCGCCGGGCGTGCGCGGCTTCGCCGCGCGTATTTTCTTTCACGTATTTCTAGACTCAACTGATATCCGTCTTTTGTTCTGTTCTCCACTTTTTTTCCGGTGTCTGAGGTACTCTTGAGCTATTTTACAGATTCCTCGTCTGACTCCGCCCACCTCGGGCTGGCCTTACCCACAATATGTCTACCCCACATTTCTCAATCGGCGACCCCTTGCTGATCTGAATTCACTTTATTCCGGTCTTCGGAGTGCTCTGGAACCGTTTTACAGACCTTTTTGTCTGGCTCCGCAAACATCGGAGCAGGCTCCACCCCCAATTTTTGCGCCCCACATTCTTCACCTACACGACCCTCTGCTGAACTTAATCCACTTCTTCCGGTGTCTGGAGTGTTCTAGAACCGTTTTGCAGACTTTTTTGTCTGGCTCCACCCACCTCGGAGCAGTCTCCGCCCACAATTTTTTGCCCCACAATCTTGACCGACGACCCTCTGCTGAACTTATTCCACTTTTTTCCGGTATCTGGTGTGTTCTGGAACCGGGCTACAAACTTTTAGAATGAATACCCTGCGATTTAGGGTAAGCTCCGCCCACTGTGAGCGGGTCTCAACACACTTGAGCGTGCCCTGTATTCGCCGGATATTTACATTCTACACTGAGTTTTTTGCGACTTCCAAACACTCTCGCGAACGCGGTTACCGACTTTTGCGAGAAGTGCCGCCCACCTTGAGTACGCCCCGCCCATTTAGGGTGTACCTGCCATAGTTAGTCTGGCGACTCCTTACTATCCCTTTTTTTCCCCATCTTTAAGCTGCTCTGGAAGCGAATTATGAACATTTTCCTGCGGAACCCCAAACTTTCGGCGAGTGCCCCGCCCAGTGTGGGCGGGGCTTGCCATAGGTCAAGTGTGCTTTTTTATTTCTTGCCATTGCCTACTATCCTGCACCTTGACTGGACCTCTCCAGTCGTTCTTCAGGTCGAACCGAATTTCCGGAGAGACAAACTTACAAACTTACAAACTCACAAACTCACGAACAAACGAACAAACAAATAGACAAAGCGAATTATATATATGGGGTGATGGAATGAGCAATTTACTAGCATTGAATCTATTGCTTTTTGCATAATTGTAGTCCATGATTGACAGCGTAAGACCTGCCAACAGCGGGCTGAAGTAACCTGCTTGTGGAACACCTTTAGTCTGATTGAATATATTACCAGCAAAAATATAAAAACTGTTACGCAATAAGTAATCGATAAGATATATTGAGTCGGTAGCTTTGTAGTATCTGTAGTTGCTTTTATTGGCTCTACCGTCTGAGTAAAAAACATGGTAACCATTACTAGCAATGAACGCCTTATTAACATTTTTGAAGCAGATGCTCATAATCTGTTGCATATTCCTGATAATGAGGCTATGTTCCAAGTTTGTAAACATGTCAGTGAAATCGGCAGTATATATTTTAACATTGCCGTAGGCTATAGTAGTCAGCTCCTGACCTATATTGATGTTGTCTATCGACCATAAGTCTCGTTCTGTTTCTGTTTTGCATCACTTTTGCATAGTTTATGAAACGGTTTTTAAAATGTTTGAAAATAACGTGTAGTTCTTTGACTAGGGGTTTGATGCTACTGCTATGTGCGCCAGTAATATATCTGAACTTGACCGGATCCTTATGCAGTTTAGGCAGAGCATATATAGTTGGTAGATCTGAATCAACCTCTATATTGAGGTTGTTCCTTACACAGAAAAACTTGTGCTTGACCCGTTCCTGACCTGACCCGTTCCCTAAAGCGATTTCTCGTGCAATCCCCATTTTCTGGGTGGCCACGCAAACATGCAAACACATTGCAACTTCTGCTTTATTTATCGAGAAGATTCACATGAGTTGCCCTTCAATTATAGCTTTCGCCACCATCTCAGAGTTTGCAGCATGTCATTGTCGTCCGCATCAGTTTGCATTTTAAACGCATTTGAAAGCGCAAACTACAAGACTTGGCATATCGCCAGGAGCGCGCACGGACGCCCAGTCAGTACATAGACGCGATCGGGAAATGGTAGTGGCGGTAGTGGCGTGGCGGAATGTCTGCGAGTATTAAGTGAATAGCTTATCCCACGGCCTTGGATCCCATCTCCTCACACGTTCGGACGGGGAAACCGCTACTCTTCGACAGCTGGGGAGGAGGGGCTGTTAGCACCACACATGCCAAGGATACACCTCGCAGGTGGGCCCGTGTTCCTTTGGAGCACTCACTCCCTCCTACCCCATAGTGATGTTGCATTGTCCCTTAAAGGCAGTTGGCACGGTAAATCGCTATACAGGTGTAGGATTTGTACAACTGGCTCAACGGACTTCCGTGACCTCGGACAGACGCTGCGTGATATCTTTTCCAAGGAGGGTACCTCTATAATGCCCTATCGAGCCACAACATTTCGACCCAAACGCTCGCCACGCCCGCCCGCCCACAAACGGACGACCGTTTATGACGCTCGTATTCATTCATTTGCCGAGCAAATTATGAAGCAAAGGGATTGGTATGAAGCGGCGGTGATGCTGCATGCATATATGGGTACACATATGCAGCCGTACCTTCGGTAGCGGTGATTGGCAAGGTGCGTACGGGAAACTCGTCCGAAATCGATTTACAAGTCACTGAGAACGAAGGCTTTTTCTTTGCAGGATATTGACCGTTTCACTTCGTTCTTTCGCCAGTTCCCCACTATACAGCGCCCTACTAGCATTTTAGGCTAAGTAGGAAATTATCATGTCAACTGCCTCTTTAAAATGGCTTCGCAGGCTACACATAAGACAGAGCTAAAGCATCCACCGAAGTTCTCCTCCTCGTGCGAGAAAGGGGCGTCGGCAAACAATCCATTCTTCACCAGCTCAGCTTCTGGTTAGCTCTGATAAAAACCTCAGTATTTTCCGGGGACGCTCTCGTGGTGCCCGACTGCGCTAGCGAACGCTTATCTACATGTCCTCTACATTAATAACAATGTTAGACAGGTGAATTAATAGGGTGTAGGTTGTCTGCAGACAAGCGACACCGCTTATCAAGCTGGGCCAGACACCGGGTTCGTCTCCAGTTTAGGCTTACCAATATTAGCTAATTGCACCCCTACAGGGACGACAAACTGGCATCAAATCCCTCTAGAAGCATAAAAGCAGTGCTTGTATGTTGGCTGGTTCTCACAACTCATTGAATAGGCCACATAGCATTCAAGATCACAGTGTGATCTGGGTAAAGGTAGAAGGCGTTTCCAAAAAGGAGCGACGAAAACCGAATGTTTTACCCCTAAAAGGACAAGTAATAACAAAGGGCATATTGTAATCGTGAAGATTTTTGTGTACCTAGAAAGGTCAACAACTACCTCTAGGTCAGTGAAGATGTTAGAGCATCTTGGTATCAGGCTGCTTCGGGCCAAATAATAGATCATGGCTATATCCGTCCACCCATATCGTTGAAGAAAACTAACGATCGTTTGCGCTTGACTGAAACCAAATGGCCACCTTCAGCTGAGGCTTTAAAATGAATTTTACAGAAGTGCATTCCAAGGAAACTCACTTAAGTGAGCTGAACGTGGGTGCCATAACGGTCGTGTAAACGCTGCCATCGAGCAGTTGAGAAGGGAAAAGCGGTGCCCAGATGACGATCGGGAAGTTGAAGTACTTGGCAACGATGCCCGATATGAGGGCAGCTGGAAGTCCAATAGACTAGTCGTGCTTTAATTTCAAAACTATTTTTTTTCAATAAGTCCGCAGTTAAAAAATCCTCAGAAGAAATTATGAAATTGAGTCCGCAAAGCATCGTTCCAACCGCTCCAAAAAAATATTTTTATATGGAATTTTGAGCAGTTGGCATCGGAAAGTTTACTAAAAATTGAGAACTCACAGCCGGAACAGGCAGGTCCTATGACGACGTTTGCACCTGACTGAACCCAATTGATAATCGCTCCAGCATCGGCCGACTCCACGCATTCACCCATCACCCATGTTAAGCTAGAAATGGTCATGTGACGTAAATTTCCAAAATCTTCCATCTCGAGATGTTTCAGAGTTTACGAAGTGAGCGATTAGGCGGACTGGTAGCAGTGATTTGAATGAGTATCGATCTGCTGCCGACTTAAAGAGACTCCCACATATTTCAAACAATTCGGTCAGTTTTCCTAATTTTATTTCCCTATTTGTGGTGATCCAGTCCAGTGAAGCTCGATGAGGAGTAGCCAGCAGTCAGTTGCAAAGTCGAGTCAAGCCGCAAACTCTCAACGAGATCCCACTCCGAATTGCAGAGTCCACTCATGGAGAAAACTCACTTCAAATCCGTGTAGTCGGGTAGAATTCGATCGGCGACAATTTTATCCCAAGCCACTCCAATTCCACCTGCTGTCTGCCTCCATCCAACGTACTGAAATCAAAAACGATGAAACTTACCGTTGATCCAAAGCCAAGTACTTATCTTTCATACCGAAGTTATTTCACTGTTGTTGTAGGCACATAGGAAGCCAACATTGAGAGTCTGAAGTAATACGCAGTTAAAAAATACGCAGTTAGAAAAGTTTCAGAATTAAGAGGAGTGCTAGTTTACCGCCCCGCACTCTACTTCACAAACCTAAGCACAGCAAAGTAAGAACAAAATAGTTCCACGTCTTCGATGTTATGAGCCGAGATATTTGAGTCTTCAGATCAACTATCAACTAGTCCTCAAGGACAAACTGTACACTCCACCCTCCAAAGATGGTCTTTGATTCGAATTCGATTCGGAAAAGGGTTCGCAGCTGTACAAGGGCAGCCCCTCCTTCACTGTGCCGCAGAAAAGAGGCTGAAAGGACCTTGATGCCGTTGTACAGTGCCCTTTCAGGGTGCAGCACTTTCACTACCCAAATCTCGCAGTGAGCAAGCGTAGAAAGCTAGCAGAAGTGAGAGGGAGCAAACATGTAGCGCGTACGGCTATGGTGAAGCGAGTGGCTGGCCGTGCGCAGCACGGTCGCATTCTCAATAGGTACCCAAGTATTACTGACCTTCAGCTCGTTTTTGAAAACCTTTCAGCGCAGAAAATAATACAGTACTGCAGTTGTGGGCCCCTTAACCTCTGGTCCAAGAGCTTTGGACGTGGATGTCTTTTTTAGAGGGTTCGCTGCTTCAAGCTGCAACTTGGATCTCACACAAGTACAGGTTACAGCAAATGGCACCTGCTACCCTTGGAGGCACTTTTAAAAATTTTCAGCTGCATCCCGCAGTGTTAGGGCACCGTAGCCAACTCTGTTGTTCATTCCCCCCCCCCTCGACTTCCCAAACAGCTCAAACAATCGTTTCCCCAGTCACTCTTCCCGAGTTTGTTGAAAGAACCTGAGCATGCGGATGCTTGACTTTGAACTGGTTCACAGCCAATAAGCTTCCACAAGTAGAGTACACAATAGGTGCCTGTCACGAGAGTGCAAAAGGGAAGACTGACATAAGTGGATGTGAGCATGGCGAAAATATGTAAAATGCATGTACCTTAGGCTCCAGAAGCGATATATGGGAAAGGAGCAGCAATACGATACCGTAGAACATCATGAGCCGACTAGCAATACGGTGGGTGACTGTATTACTTCACCGAGGGCTTTCCGTAGATTTTGAAGGACTTCCTGAATGATTTCAAAGAAACCTCGCAACGATTTACCTGTGAAAACAGAAATGAGGCTCTTTTTCTTTTTCGGTCCTCAGCTGACAACTTTTATACCCTCAGTCAGCGTTCCTGAGGAGGAAAAGGAGTGCAAAAACCCACGGTACGTCACTGTGCCATGGTGCTACCACAGCGGAATACCAACCTATTTCCCTACTGAATGTAAAGATTCTCAAACGATTACAGCATGATGTGATGGCAAAAAAGGGCAAGGAGAACAAGTTAACGGAGGAGGTTCCATACCTGAGCAATCCCAGAAGCGAGCGAAGAAGTGCAAGTGACAACGAAGAGTAAACGATCTTCAAAGCGGAAAAGAACAAAGTCTACCGAGGAGTTGACGGAAAAAGGTCGAAGCAGATTGTTGGCGATATCACTCACGCAGGCCACCAAAATCGGAGGCTTTCCAGTCATAGGGAATCTCCCATCGAATTCACATTAATGTTGTAAATTCTAGTAATGGCTAGATTTCCATCGAAAAACTTACGAAGGTACATCATTTAACAAAAACGTGATGTAAAAGAAATATTGAGAATGCGCGCTCGTCTAAGGTTGGACAGATCCCAGAATCAACCGTTGCACAGAATGACGGGGCCTTTTTCGACTGCATGATGTTTAGCGCAGGGTACTCAGGGTACTTCATATTCGCTCCTCGCGCTCAGGTGTCAAGAAAATAAAACCACTGGAATATAATGTGCGCAGATGAGCTTAATTGGTCAACGTGCGGAGCATATCGTCTTCTCCAGTTCCTGAGGATGGCTCGTAGTCCTTATCTGCAACTTAGCCGATCAAGCGCCTCATCATGCTAGGCCAGTTGCAGCACATCCTCAAGTAGGAAGCCTTTGGGCAAAGAAGCCAACTTTCCGCGGTTTCATCAGCTTTAAAATTCCACCCCAGCGCACTGAACAACGGGAGAAGTGATCGCAGAAAACACAAAGGAATGAAAGGCTCAGTTGTGGTGCAATCATTTCGGTTGTTCAGTCTCAAAATTCTCGAGCAGAACGCTTACAAAACCTTTCTAGCACTTTGCAAGTGGTGCTCACCAAGGGGACTGAGGAGGTTCCTTCGCCTTTCACATGACAGGTGTTCTTCGACTCTTATTCCCAACACCCTTCCCGCCCCTTCCCCCCTCCCCCTCCCCCGAAAAAATTTCCATCACAGCTCAGACACTGAGGTCGGTATATGGTCCCTCGATGTGCACAATCTCCATCTTTCCCATGGGAAACGGTACGCAATCCACATCCGGTCACGTAAAAGACGTGCGGGATCTTAGTAGTATAGCAGAAGACAAACCCTTGCAAATTACATACAAAATATGACTAGAATGAGCGATTAACATTAACATAAACAGGCGGTGCGGGAATTAATATTAGTCGCATTTGAAGGTTGGTAGAATTCTGTCACAACAGGACAACTGAGGGAGCTTATGGTTGTCTACTAATGCTATCTACCGATCTAGACAACACCTATTTCTTATAAGTCACTATTTGAACCGAATACATATATATGGATCAAGTGATCCAGTGCTAGGAGATGCACCCCACAAGATTGCCAACCCTAAAAAGGTTTCACCTCATATGGTCTATCAGTCTATTATAAATGCTACTGCATAAATGATATCTCAACTACTGGGAAATAGTTCTCAAGATAAATGAATATTTTCAAAGTCGCATGCTTATAAGAACACTAAGAAACTGCATCACTGTGGAAAACTGCCTTTGAAATCCTGACCCAGAAGAAGAGTCCCATCAAACCTTGAGGTTGTCTTGGAGATAGAGAGGGGTTGAACGATGAGTGATGAAACGACTGGTAGGATCTTTGAATTAACTACTATATCTGTGGCTGCCGAGGGCGTGTCGGACGAATGTATCTGAGTAGTTTGGACGTGGTTGGCTTCCAGTTGCTAATTGTTTGAAACCTGTCCATCGGTGATTAGCAAAGAAGCGCTTCGGAAGTCAGAAATGGATTTCAAATGACAACGAGTGGAATCACCAGTTTGCGCTGAAGAAGCTTCATAGCGAGTCAGAATTCGAAAGTAGCAGTGACCCCTGATTGGTCTCTAACCCCCCCCCCTATAAAACAGATCAATGATCAACCAGAATAGAGCTACATTTCAGATAATTACCATTACCACACATCACAGTATCAGGAACCTTTCGAAATTAAGGAATTGGTTGGAACAGATGCCCTCACTGAATCAGAAGGGAAAGTGTGCGACATAATAATGTTCAATCTGAATATTAATTTATTTATAAAAAAAATAATAGAATATTAATCTCTTTTTGCCTGTGAATCTGTCAATGTACAACCAACTGTTAGAGCATTCGTGACCACCTCACAATAATCAGAAGCCAAAGCATTTGAAAATTGTTAGGATTTCCCCAAAATGTTTTGTTCAGGAGGTCGCATGACTTTCCGACCAACTTAACATTTGCTGTCCCGGAGTTTTAGTGTTGGAGAATGACAGTGTGTGTTAGGTTCCATTTTGGGAAGTTTCTAAATAACAGTAAAATGAGAGCGTTCTCTAAAAATAAATCATTTCTCGATCCTTCAGTGATCTTATATAATTGAACCTGATAGCTTTTTTATCCTACTATCTACAGAAAAGCGAAATCCATGTCCATTAGAATTTATTTGCAGCTTCAGAACTTCAATGACATAGGCAGGACAACATTAAGGAGCATGTTTCTTAAAACCTGAAAAAGACATAGTCGGTGGAGGACAAATTTTTTTTCTACTGTTCTGCGATCTTTATTGAACACTTTCAGAGAAAAATGTCTTTTTCAAGAAGTTTAATAATCAGCGAGCGAGAGCAGCACTCACAGCAATGCGCAATGGCTAAGGCCATCACTTTTGAAAGGCACGAACAGTTCATAGCAGTTATCAAGATTTCAGCTATTTTTGGATCACTAAGTTTACCTCAAAGTGGTGGGATGGTGTAAACTCACTCAACGTTGCTTCCCGTTGTTGTTGCCGGAACAACGACGCGTTGAGTGAGGCTAAAAACGGGCCCCTCTTGGACAGGTACCACACCCGGCAGTGGTACTACCGCCAGTTATGGCTAGGCGGTGAGGGTAAGTCCAGGCCATCAACATCTATGAGTGAAGTTCAAGAAGAAGTACCCTCAGTCCCGTGCGGCCACCGCCCTTCCTGGCAGAGAGGGCAAAGGCAGAGGGGGAGAAATCTCACGAGAAGCGATCTGCCAAACAGTTTCCTAAACATTGGAACAATAAACGCTCGAGGTCTCGTTAACGACTATGTTGATCGATCAGCTAGTATCTGAAATGGACAAGTGTCGCGATTGACGTAGCATGTTGTCCAAGAAACGCTTAAGAAGCAATGCAGGAAGATGGAGTGGCACACTGGACATGAAGTGATCTTAGGAGCTGGCTCAACGCAACGGAAAAGTCGGAGGAGTCGGATTCATAGTATCGCCACGTCTCACTGCAAGGATTGCCTATTGCGATGTAGTGTCTGAAAGAATTTGCGATCCTAATGCTCGAACTAGGCAAAATAAGACGATGAAAATACTGTCGGTCTATGCCCCCACCGGTGCATACGAAGATGAAGCCGTGGAAGAGTTTCTACGACGCGCTCGAAAACGCAATTGCCCATACTCCAAAAGGAGCATATGTGATATGCGCTGGAGACTTCAATGCCCACTTAGGATGCGGAGACCTGATGAATCCTATATAGGGCCATACGGAATACTGGAAGAAACAGCAGAGGAGAGGCTTTAGCACAATTCACCGAACGGAGTCGATTATCAGTGGCCAAACTCATATTCCAAAAGCGTGTAGGGACGTCGCTGGACATACCATACCCCGAACAGGCAGATGTTCCACGAAATCGACTTCTTCTTAACCAACTGCTTGCGCCTCTTTCACAACGTTACAGTGATCGGGAGAATCGCATTTTAATATTGGATCGGACCACCGTTTAGTTCGAGCCACAGTAGCAATAAAGCTCAGAGAAGAAAGGAGACGATTAGCTGCATACTATTCGCAACGTGCTCAATATGTGCTCTCTGAAGAACGACTAAAAGCGCTCGCTTCCACGACAAACTTTTCTTCAGAACAGGGAAATGTTCACAGCAGATACGAAAAGTTGATTTCTACTATTCGGGATGTAGTTAAAAATGCTTCAGAGCGCGTTCGAAGCAGAACTCCGGGAACGATTAAGTGCTACTACGCTGCAAATGTTGGCCACTCGCGAAGGAATTGGGAAAAACTATGACTCCTGGTGGCCTAGAACTATATTAAACAAGGCTATACGCTATAGAGTGAAAAAAGAATATCGTGAATATGCGCAACGTAAAGCAAGAGAAGCAGCCTGAAAATGCACGAGCATCAAAAGAACATTCATCAACACTTGACTCAAAACCATTACCCCTGAATATCTCACAAAAGATGATGGCTCTGTTGTCAGGAATAAAAAAGGAATGGAAGGAGAAATTCGAAACTTTTTCCAAGACCTCTTCTCCACAAAAGTGCTGGTGCAACCTAACATGATATTTTGTGTGGATGATGATGATGACACACTTGCAAGAGATGAGTGGAAGTTACTTGAAACGGAAGTATTGAAGGCTATTCAACAGACGAAAGGAGGAAGAGCGCCTGGACCAGATCGAATTATGGCAGAACACCTGAAATGTCTGAAGGAGTTATTGCCCGCCCTTTGGCAGACATTTTCACAGAAATGCTGGCGTCGGGAACTGTACCAAAGGAATGGCTGGGTTCGAATACCATTTTGATCACAAAAAAGGACCGCGTGATATACTGGCCAACTATCGTCCTATAGCGCTCCTGTCCACAATACTCAAAATCTTCTCACGTATCATCCTCAACCGCATAAGTGGAACACTCAATATAAAATCGAGAAGAGAACAAGCCGG